TTTTTACTAGTGATATTCCTGTGAGTTTAGTATAAGTTATTTCATTAACTTCAAAGAAAAGGTCCCACTAACCTAAAGTCAGCTAATGTAGCCTTAAATCTTCAATCAGTTTAGTTTGATAATAATTTATTGGGTTAAGGATGCAGTTGAAGTAGCGAATATTACAGGTGGGAGGATAATTTGGAAAGTTATTTCCAAACCTACATTCAAAATGATGAAAGACTGAGCCATAGAACAGGAGTCGCATAAAGAAGAGAAGTGGAAAAGAAGCAATTTTGGGGGAGGAAAGACCAGTGAAGCACTGAGTTGGGGTAAGGGAGCCGGGGAGGAAGATAAATCATGAGGGCAGCTTCCTGCTTCTGCTGTGAAGGCATGCTAGGAGGAGACAAGGTATTCAGGGAAAGACCAGGGGTTCAGATTCGAATATGTTCAAGATCAGTTTTTAACACGAGGAATTGCGAGGACAGTGGGCCACAGTGGGCCCACCAAAATGAGGTGCCCAACAGACAATTAGACACTTAACTAGGAATTCCAGAGTATATTGCATTGCTAAGCCTTGTTTTCATACAATTTAAACCAGTATATGCATGTTACATGCTCCAAGTTTTTCATTTAATAAATTATGGGTCATCTTTGCATTTTTCACCTTGTCCACATATTAGTTCAACGTCTCAATGGTAAGAATTTTATCACAGACATGCCATAAAGTGCTTCCTCATTACCATTGCACTATTTTTGTAACTATTGTTTGAATTCTATCATGGAAACATAGAAATTCTACGCCAGAAAATACTCTTGAGAGAGTTTAGGTCCATCTTTTAAAAAAAATAAGAAAATCAATTCCAGTCATGGGTAAGGAAGTTATCCAAAGTGGCTGAGATCAATGAAGTCTGATGGCTTAACCCAGGGTTTTCTTCTCACTATCTCACACTTCTAATGTTTCATATAAATGTGTTATGTATTCAGTCAAACCGAATCATTTTCACTAGCAAGAAATGGGTCTATACTTCACAACACTTACGAGCACTTTGTAGTTAATATAATATAGTGACTGTTAACAATAAATTATTCTTAAATATTTTTAAAAACCAATAAATATATAAATATTTTATCTAAATAAAATGTGTAACATTTAGATGCAAAATATTATCTAGAAAAAAGAGAGAAGTGGGCAAATAGAATTAATATTTGCTGACATAAAATACATTAACAACATCCTAAACAAAAGGATAGCTTCCCAGTAAATACTGTATCAATCTTACAAGTTATTTATGTAAACTGTTTACAAATCTATTAACTCTAAAGGGAAAATGAGCTTTCTGAAAAAATTACAACTGTAGAAATCCTTTTGTTCTTTTGCTATCATAGATGCCCTGCTGCAAACATCAGTCAGTAAAACATGAATTTTATATAATGCCTAGATGGTTGTGTACTTTTCATTATTCTGCATCACTTTCTATGGCTGTAATTCCCAAGGTAAATTAGAAACTCAAAAGTCATGATCACTTACTTGTGTCATTTACTCCACAAATGGAGTTACAACATTCTACTATGACTAAGTGGGGGCATCAAGATTGGAAAATCCTCCTGCAATGTATGAATTTTTCCTTTTAGTTATAATGACTTGGTGAATGAAAGGGTCTCGCTCATAAAATATTAAACGTTACTTTATATTGCCATATTTCCCCTTATTCTGCTAGTTTGGGTTTTATAAATACATATACACTCCTGTCTTGGATCTTAAATTTTCTCAAAACTTTTAAATTTGTATTCTTTCATCTTTCTTTTACTTTATTAAAAAATATTTCTAACATTATGAAATTTATTTGGTATAAATTACTTTTCCCTCATATTGACATATAAATGCCCCAGAGCCAAAAAAGTTTTTCTTTGTTGAATAACATTTATTTTATTGTGTTATTATCTCCTTATAGCCTGTTTCAACACCATAGAACAGAATATCTCTGAATGTTATCACTGTTCTGAAATCTGGTAAATAAAGTGATTAATGCATTTTACTGAATGTTTTACTTCTGTTTTGTTTTTGAGATGAAGTCTCACTCTGTCACCCAGGCTGGAGTGCAATGGTATGATCTTGACAATGCAAGATCCACCTCCCAGGTTTAAGTGATTCTCTTGCCTCAGTTTCCCAAGTAGCTGGGACTACAGGTGCGCACCACCATGTCTAGTTAATTGTTTGTATTTTTGGTAGAGACAGAGTTTCACTATTTTGGCCAGGCTGGTCTCAAACTCCTGACGTTGTGATACACCTGTCTCAGCTTCCCAAAGTGCTGGGATTACAGGCGTGAGCCACTGCACCCAACCTGAATGTTTTACTTTTAATACGTATGTGTAATTACATTCAGTTAAATTTCTGTTAAAGACGATGAAATTCTTGTGTTGGAGATTCTGAAATGTTTTTTTCACTGTGATTATAGTGCTTCTGTGTGTGTGGAAGAGCAAGACAGAGAGGCAATACAGAGAGAGAAGATGTTTGTTTGCATGTGTGTTTAATGGCAAAGATTTTTAGCATTTCTAAAACATTGGGATATTAATTTAAATTCTGTAATAACTTTTTCCCAAACTATCTCAAGGACATTTTTCCACAGGTCTCATAAATAGTTGAAGAGCAAAACGTGAACTCCATAAATTTATAAGAAGCACAACTACCATAGATTTTAAATCAGGAAAATCATGAACTCATAGAGAATAGCAGAGTGAGACTAGGATTTTGTAACATTAAGAAATTTTAGGCTGAGCATGGTGGCTCACGCCTGTAATCCCAGCACTTTGGGAGGCTAAGGTGGGCAGATCACCTGAGGTCAGGAGTTCAAGACAGGCCTGGCCAACATGGTGAAACCCCATCTCTACTAAAAATACAAAAATTAACATGGCATGGTAGGCGCCTGTAACCCCGGCAACTTGAGAGGCTGGGGCAGGAAAATTGCTTGAACCCGGGAGGCGGAAGTTGCAGTGAGCCGAGATTGTGCCACTGCACTCCAGCCAGAGTGAGACTCCGTCTCAAAAAAAATAAAAAGCAATTTTATAAGATAAACAACCTCTGACACTATTAGGACAAATATTTGTTGATTACTAAACTACATTGTTACAATTTTAAGAATATTATTCTACAAGAAGACATTTTTACAATATGGTATAATGAATGTATGCTGACTGATGTGCTGCTAATGAAAATATACATTTTATTTAAAATACCTAGACCAGGGATTCTCAACCCCAATGCCTTGAGAATAAATCCATACTCCTCACCGAGGTTTGAAGATCCTATGGCAGGGGTCCCCAACCCCCAATACTGGTCATAGCCTGTTAGTAACACAGCAGGAGGCGAACAGCAGGTGAACGAGCATAACTGCCTGAGCTCCACCTCCTGTCAGATCAGCAGGGGCACTAGATTCTAACAGAAGCACAAACCCTATTGTGAACTGCACATGTGAAAAATCTAGGTTGTGCACTCCTCATGAGTATCTAATGCCTGATGATCTGTCGCTGTCTCCCATCACCCCCAGATAGGACCATCTAGTTGCAGAAAAACAAGCCCACGGCTACCACTGATTCCACATTATGGTGAGTTGTAGAATTATTTCATTATGTATTACAATGTAATAATAATAGATATAAAGTGCACAATAAATGTAATGCACTTGAATCATCCCAAAGCCATCTCCCCACCCCTGGTCTGTGGAAAGAATTGTCTCTGACGTAACCAGTTCCTGGTGCCAAAAAGATTGAGGACCACTGACCTCAGAAGTTTGATATCTCAGAATATGTAAGTGGAAGAATATGAAAGTATTCATATGATAGGAAAATGGCAAATCTTTATAAATACGAGTTGATAAGCTAAATCTATTTTTTTTTTTTTGAGGCGGAGTCTCGCTCTGTCGCCCAGGCTGGAGGATAAGCTAAATCTATTTTAAGTCAGGCCTGTGTTATGAAATATTATTGTACATAATGAAAGAGTTACCCAATCTCTTTTATAAACCCATAAGGCCTGGAAAAACTAAAAGGTAAAAAAGAATGTGCAAAACTATATTTATGAAATTTGTTCATTTTTAAGGAAACTGAAAGATGAGCAAAGCCCAAAATAGCATTCCAGATGCTCATAGCTAAACTCATTTATTTCAACTGTTGATTAACAATACAGCAAAAACTCCTGAACCCATTTGCAAAAAAAACAACACTGATGTCAACTCCCATATGCAGACATACTGTGCTTTCCTTCAATGCTTCCCCATGTAGAGAACACACCAGGCAATCTTCACAGCCTGTCTCCACTTGTAAATAACCTCAGCTAAGTTTCAGTACAGTCTACGCAAGCCTGTCTACAAATGGACTCTCCCATCTCCCTTGTGAACTAAATAATGAAAAAAAGAAAAAAAAGATTTTTTATAAGACTACGGTAAACAGTATTTTAAACAATCATTATATATAATCAACCCGCAGAGGGTTCTAGCTATATAACTAGATTGATGATAGAATGTAAAAAGCTATATCAATTATGTTGGCCAATTATAAATGCCTGCAAACATTGAGATATTTGTTCTGGTGGTTGTAAAGCTTACTTGGGAGTTTGATGGATTGATTTCTAATTTTAAACTGGGATTAAACATACTAGACTAGAATACGTAGTACATGTTGAATTTCATATTATGCTTCAACCTGCAGCTCCACATTTTGGCTATAAATACATCTTGCATTCTATAATTTTTGGATTGTAAGAAAACATGATACACATTTGCAAATCTTTGCTATTTATGTTCTTTTTTAAATTGTTATTTTTCACTTTATATCCCTTAAGACTGTTTACATTTAAAAGTTTTTATTTTAAAAAGAATTAAACAGCTTTAACTATAAACACACTTGACCAGAAAGAAAGCATAAGAGAGCATGATTAGTGAGGTCAGTCAGATAGGATTAGGAGTAGAAGCTGTTCGAAGACAGTTATATGGATGTTGTAAATGGAGCTACTTACAAACACCTACCAGTGACTGTAAGAAACATGTTGGTCACAACAAGGCCAAATGAATTCCGAGCCACACAATCGTATCTTCCCTGGTCAGGGAACCCTGCGTCGTAGATAGTCAGCGTGCCTTCACCATCCACGTGGAATTTACCACTCTCAGTTATCTGCACACCTTCCTAGGGAACAAAAAAGAGTTGTCACTGGATGGGTGTGGTTCCTTAAAAAATCATTTATTTACTTTTTTCAATGTGGGTTCATTTGTTCAACAGACGTGTACTGCATGTCTGCTGTGTGTCAAGTACTGGAGGAGATACATGAATCTAGTGGAGAGAAGGAAGAGAGGAAAAGAGGTTTCTAGGAAGTGTGGTTTTTCTCTCTCTAATTATTAAATATGATAACCAAAAGTTCAATCATGTAATTATTTAATAGAATAATTTTTTAAAATTATCACTCCAATGAATGGAGAGACATAATTGATTCATATATTCCTTACTGCTAAAGATAATTCTGACAACTACATTTGATCGGGCACAGTGGCTCATGCCTATAATCCCAGCATTTTGGAAGACTGAGACAGGAGGATCACTTGAGCTCAGGAGTTCAAGACTAACCTGAGTGACATAGCAAGACCCCATCCCTACAAAAAAAATAGAACAAAAGTCAGCCAGGCATGGTAGCATGTGCCTGTAGTTCTAGCTACTCAGGAGACTGAAGTCAGAGGGTCGCTTGAGTCCAGAAGTGTGAATCTGTAGTGAACTATGATCATGCCATTGTACTGTAGCCTCAACAACCTCACAAGATCCCATATGTAAAATAAAAAATATTACAAATTGACAAGGAGAAGTATGTTCACAAATCCATCATCCAAAAACATCAAAATATTTTTATTAACGTATTTCTAATTTCCCTTCTATTTCTTCCTTGCATGTACTCATATGTTTTGTATAGCTACACTGATATGTGTATTATATATATATATACACAATTAAAATATACTGTAAGAAGATAAAAATAACTAAAATTTATACGAACTATTATTAAAGTGCACTTACTTTTAATTAATATAGATTTACATACTTTTCATTATTATGGACTTAATTTTAAAAAGTAAAAGAAATTGGCCTTAAGAAATTGCAGTGAAAATGGTGTGCCTCTGCCCTGCCTCTAGCCCCAAAAGACTCACAAGAAACAGAGGATGGGAGATATTTTTTCAAAAGAACTCACACTCCAGCTATAGCCAACAGGCCACAGTGTAACCATGAACGTTTCAAGTGAAAAATAATGTTTCACAGGTCTTCGGATTCTCACAGCTGACTTTACCCAATTCTGAAAAACAAGTCCAGGCGATTGGTAGCTGGTAACTCAGAGTAGGGAGTGACAGGAAGTTGCAGGAACCTACCAGATGAGAGGGCAGATGAGAGAGACCAGACACAAGGCATGGATGAGGCAACCAGGTGCACAGGTCACAGGGCCCAGCGGGTCCTTCCTTCAGAACCACACCTTCCCTGTCTCAGGCTGTGTCACTACTAAATTTTCTTTCAAAGTTGCTCCCTTCTCTTCACCTATTGCCAGAGCTCCAGACTAAATTTATAGCTCTGAAATATCTGCTTGGAGTCTCAGCAATCAGATAGCTTTCCAGAACATTCCTTATCTGCTTATGGTAAGGCTTTTCTATTGCTGGTAGCAAAGGTATGCTAACTCATCCCTTTTCCAAACTCGTGAGCTGAAGAGGACTGTTATGAAGGATAAATGTGATTGTGTGTGTAAAATGTCTGGCATAGAGTCGGAACTCAATCAGTTTGTGATTAAAAGCTACCTTTTACAAAGTAGACGCTGAGATATTCTGCTGATGTGATTATATAATGATGCATGTCATAGAGTGTAGAATAAGGCTTTAGAGACTGCCCAAAATGTATATTTTTCACACTTTCTATTTTTAGCATAAAAATATTTTAATGTATAATATCAAATTAAAAGGGGTTTTAAAAAATATTCAGACTAATGAGAGGACGTGAACCGAAAGACTCATGATTGAGACCCCTAAACTTACTCTTCATAGAGACTGACATGTGAGACTTGCTACAGCACAAAAGAAGGCCTTGTTAATATATGGCAGCAATAAAAATAAGCCAAGTGGGTTTTGGAAAACAGCTTTGTAACCTTCCACAGATTTTATATTTTGTCAAAATGTTTCAAAAACTGACATTCAGGCGTGCAAATTTGTTGATTTTTAAGAACACTGAAATCTGAGACCGACCATTTTGTTTTGATGAAAAATTTAAAACAGAAGAAGCAGTTATGTTGGAAGAACATGGCTTCCAAAAGATGTAAGATACATAAGTAAGGAGCTATTGTTTCGTTAAAGCCATTCAGGGTTTGAAACTTCAGAACTACTTTTTCTTGTTTCTTTAACATTAGGTTTTCCATTCCTTTCCTGTTTCAGCCAATGACCTACTTTTCATCCACTTCTGAGTTATTAATTTAAAATGGTTTCTTATTAGCCACTAAACTCTTAATTTATATGTGTCAAAACCAATTTTCCTTAGAGGAATTCAGTTATGCTTATGAAGTTTTCATCACCAGGCAAATGAGAAAGGATAAACCTTATCAAAACACTGACCCAAAATCAGATACAGTTACTTTAAAAAAAAGAAGGAAAGAAAAATAAGAAACAGGAAATAAACCTGCTGCAATGTAAAAAGTATTATTTGCTAGCAAAAGTTGCAACAGTAAAAAATCAATATGAGAATGATTACCTCCATTTCAGTGGGTCGATACATCTGTCAGTGTTTTTAATATTACTGTACTTTAGTTGAGATCTTACCTTATTCCAAGTAATTATGGGCTGTGGTTCTCCTTGAGCATGACATGAAATGTTTATATTCTTTCCAACCTCGACACTTGTATCCTGAGGACGTTGAGTAAACACTGCAAGAGCTGTAGAAACAAACCAAAATAACATCATGTCAAATAATATCATTTTTGTCAATATATGCCAGCTGAGTCAAAGGTATGAATCTGAATGTCACATTGGTTAAGCACACTAGTTTTTTAAAAATCAATTACTTGGACATCTAGGGGAATAACAAGCATCACACCCATGTTGGCACCAAGTACAGCAGAGGTGAGAGCAGGAATTAGGCAAAAGGAATGCACTGAAACTTTCACTACATTTGCATTTTTAACACGTATCTCTTCAGCTGAGCTGTGGGTACAGCATTTTCATTATTCTGTCTCAGTACTTTTTGTTAAGTGTGAAATAAAACTATATGGTAACATCAAAATTTATTTGTGGCTAAGATAAAAAGATCCAGCTCTTCAGTGAGCATCTCATTTCCTCAAAAAACACAAACTACCATAACACACCTAATATGAAATAGATAATTGAGATAGCTCTATAACTATCGAAAAATGAATTCCTAATCCTTAAAACTCCCCCAAATAAGAAATCCCCAGGAAGGAATTAAAATTATTTTACCAGGGAATTTGACCCAGTGTTTAAAAAAATGTAACAGCAATTTTATAGACTCTCCTCTATAAAATAACAGAGGAGGGAATATTCCCCAACTCCTTTTGGGAGGCTCATCCTAATATCAAAACCAGATGACGACTATAACAAAGAAAAAAAAACTACAGTCAAATACTTCTCATGAACGTATACACAAAAATCATTAACAAAATATCGGCAAATAGAATTTATCAATATGAAAAGGTTTAGACATCATGAGTAAGTAAGGTTTATTCCCAGGATGCAATACTGGTTTAATATTTGAAAATAAATCAATATAATCCATCGTATTAATGGCTAAAGAAGAAAAATCACATAATAGTATCAATAAATAAAAAGTGCTTGCATATATTCAACACTCATTATAAGTTAAAGATCTCTCAGAAAGAAAATAAAAATAGAGGGGAACTTCTACAACTTGGAAAAGAACATGTACAAAAGCCCTAGAGTAAGGAAACACAGTGAATACTTTTCACATAGAAAATAAGGCAGGGATATCTGCTCTCTCCAGTCTTATTCAACACAGTACTGCAATTTCTAGCCTTTGCATCATGGCAACAAAAGGACATAAAAAGCAAACAGAATGGAAAAGAAGAGATAAAACTGTCCCTATTTGCAGATGAAATTATTGTCTATGTAGAAAATCCTAAGACATATCAAAAATACTCCAAAGTGAGTTCAGCAAGGTCTCTGGATACAAGACAAATGTATTAATATATAGATAGTATTTATTTTATATACAATCAATGAACATATGGACATGGATTTTTTTAAAAAAAATTGCTCAAAAGCATGAAATAATTAGGTATAAATTTAACAAAATATCTACAGTACTTATAAACTAAAAGCTAAAAAATACTGTAGTACAAAATCAAAGATAAAAAAATGAATAAACACATATGCATGGATTGAAAGTCTAAAGACAGTAAATATGTCATTTCTTTACAAGTTGATATACAGGTTTAATGTAATTCTCATTAAAATTCCAGCAAGATTTTTTCATAGATATAGATGAGATTATTCTAAAATTTATGCGGAAATGCAAAGGAACTAGTATAACTAAACAGTTTTGACAAAAAAGAATAAAGTGAGAGCAATTAATCTACTGGATTTTAAGATGGGTCATATAGCTGCAGTAATCAAGACTGGTATGGAGGAAACGGCAGACACAAACACAAATATCAATGGGACAGAGCAGGAACCCAGTAATGGACCCACACAAATACGCTCTATAGATTTTAACGAAAGTGCAGAAGCAGTTCACTGGAAGCTTTTCAACCAATGATACAATAGCAAATGGATAACTATAGGCAGAAGAATAAACCTTTACTTAAGCCTCATACTTTATTAAAAAAGTAACTCAAAATGGACAACAAACTTAAATATAAAATGTGAAGCTATTATTTAAAAAATAGGAGAAAATCTTTGCTATTTAAGCCAAAAGTTCTTTGACTTTGCATAAAAAGCTTGATCTATTAAAGAAAAAAATTGGTAATCAGGACTTCATCAAAATAAAAAATTCTGTGCCGTGAACACCATGCTGAGAGTATCAGAAGGCAAGTTATAGACGGAGAAAATATTTGTAAACCACATATGCAGAAAGGAATAGGGTCTAAAATATATAAAGAACCCAACAATTCAACAGTAAAATACCAAACACTTCAAACAGATAATGGACAAAAGGCATGACATTGTACTGAAGAGGATATACAGATGGCAAATCAGCATATGAAAAGGTGCTCAAAATCAGAAGACATTAGGGACATGCAAATTAAAACCACAAGGTGATATTACTACACACCTATAAAAATGGCTGAAATACAAAATAATGAAATTACAAATTGCAGGCAAGGATGCAGGGAAACTGAATTACTCATACATTGTGGGTGGGAATATAAGATGGTACAGACACTCTGGAAAAGAGTTTGGAAACTTCTTTAAAAATTTAAACATGTGGCCGGGTGCAGTGACTCATGCCTATAATCCCAGCACTTTGTGAGGCTGAGGTTGGCGGATCACCTGAGGTCAAGAGTTCGAAACCAGCCTGGCCAGAATGGTGAAACCTTGTCTCTACTAAAAATACAAGAAATTAGCCAGGCATGGGGGTGCGAGCCTGTAATTCCAACTACTTGGGAGTCTGAGGCAGGAGGCAGGGTCTCACTCTGTTGCCCAGGCTGGAGTGCAGTGGTACGATCTTAGCTCATTGCAACCTCCACTTCCCAGGCTCACATGATCCTCTCACTCATCAAACCCAAAGTCTCCAAGAGACTGAAGTTGCATCTGGTTTTATTGCTTTTTATTTTTTTTTTTTTTTTTTCTTTTGAGACAGGCAGGGTCTCACTCTGTCACCCAGGCTGGATCTTCAATAAAGGAAATAAGCACTTTCATCATATCTTTCTTGTATGTTTCTGTATTTCTGAAAAAAAATTATGGTAATATCAAACATTTATTACTGACAAAGATAAAAAGGTTCAGTTCCTCTGTTGGAATCTTATTTTTCTTATGTATTTAAACTTCACGCTATATTCTAAGTTAACACATGCATTTCAGAATGCTGAGACCATGGCTGATTGATGCCTGACAATGCATAATGGACATCTCATGAGGGCCAGGGTCAGCCTATGAGGCAGTGACGCTCCTGATCCAATCAAGACGTCTCCAGTGTCTCACTCTTCACATCATAGCCTCCTTTGTCTGATGTCCTTTATTGCCAGCTGCTTTCACCTCCTGTCACAACAGATGCTCATTACCACGAGCTGTGCCATCACTTGTAATATTTTGGAAATATCTAACACCACACTCTAAAGCAAAGCTCTTCTCACTATGCCCTTGCATCTCCTCATTTGGACTTTACCTAGACTTGGAAGGCGATCTGCTTCTTTCCTGGTGACCAACAATCTTCTAGTCTCATTCTCTTTCCTTTTCAGCCAAGCTCCTGTGAATAAATAGAAGCTTGAAAGATCCAATCCTTCAGGATGAATCCCAAGCGGCTAACTGGGCTTAAATGTAAAATAGAGCCAAACAGCCATTTCCTGACCAGAGGTGACACACATACTCTGAGATCCCTGAAAACACACATCTTTTTAACTTCAAGACCTTCAGAGCTTACCTGAACCAACCAATCAGAACTCAGCAAGTTTGAATCATTCATTTGCATAAATGAACCTGATTGGGAACGTGGGCGGAAACTTTTGCTACGAAACTTGAACTCTCTCTTTGTTCTCTGGAACGCACCTTTGTTTTACACTAGGAGTTGTGTCTCTCCAGTTTGCAAACTGTTCACTGGAATAAAATCTCTCCTTCAAATTCCTTTTCAAAGAACTTTTATTCAGGATCCCAAGTTTTATCACCTTTACCACCTTTCTTCCAAAATGCTAAACTCCTTTACCCCATTGTTCTTTCATTCAACTACCCTCCACCATTTTCTTGCATTTCTTCTCACAAAATATCTGGAGTAAAAACAGAGTGATCCTATGTCCTGGTTTGTCAGGAACAAACTGCCCTTGTCAATCCAGATCCTATTTTACATCAACAGCAATGAATTTCAAGCATTTACTTCTCTTTCAAGTCACCTACTTCATCTCTTGGAATACCCTTCTCCTACACAATATTGACTTCTCCACAAAGAAAACAGAATCCATCAGACTATAAATTCCTCAACTCCTATACTCCTCTTCCACAGAGGTGTCATTCAATCTACACACCCATTCTTACCTCCCCTCCTATCCTCATCTAAACTGAAAAAAATCACTCTTCTGTTAAAGGTCACTTGCAAATCTCACCCCATCTTGCCACCTGAGTGATATTAAATTATTTAATGCTCATGCTCTTCCATCTTTTCAGCCTCTCCTTCCTTTAGAAAATACCTAGGAAAAACAGGCCCTTCCCCTTGTTCCGCATGACCCAGCCCCATCTCCACTGCTGTCTCTTTACTGTTTCCCTCTTCACTTGTTTCCAAGAAATAGATATGTTTCTCTGCTTATGGCCTTTCTATCCCCTTTATGCCACAGCCACTTTCATTAAGCTTCGATTTCCTTGACTGTATGAAACTGCCCTTGTTCAGAACCTTAAAAAAAATTTCAGTCTTTACTGAATGCAACTTTTTGTGGCTTTTGACACATTTGATTCTCTCCTTCTGGGAATAACTTTTTCTTAGCTGTTAAGACTCTTGTCTCCTCAGGGATTTTGTGTAACCCAGAGGCTGGGAATTCCTCTATAGTATCACTCATAGCTTTTTCTTCTCTCTACATTCCAAGGGGTTCCAATTCTTGGTCTTCTCACCTTTTCACTCAACGCACGACCTCAGTTCTAAATTAGTTCATTAATAACCATGGAGTTTACATCTTAGGTCCACGCTCAGAAACCAATCGTTTCATGGATACCTACATTAATTCTCAGAAAGGATAACAAATTTAACTTTTTCCCAAGCTGTATTGACTATGTTTTCCCATTTGTTAATTGAATTCTTTTTATTAAATTAGGGAATTCTTTATATGTTACAGATATCAAAACACAAAACACACTTGTCAGTTATATATATTGCAAATATCTGCTATTTCTGACTGACAAATAGAATATCCAAATTTTAATGTAGATAAGATTATCCTCTTTTCTGATAGGCTAATAGTTTCCTGTAATTTGTTTTGCAAATCTTTCTATACTACTATCATAATAATTTTACTTCTTGTTCAAAAAGAGTTAAATGTCTTAAATATTAAAACATTTTTATCTGGAATTGATTTTGATGTGTAGGGTGATATAAAGATGTAATTTCACCTTCTCCCTGTGGATAATGAGTTTCCCAGAACTATTATTGAGAAGCCATAGTTTCTGCTCATGCTTACACATACCGTTTTTTGTTTTTTTTGTTTTTGTTGTTTTGTTTTGTTTTGTTTTGTTTTTGTCTCTTTGGTAAGTTGTTAATCCTTGGGCCAATCATACAATATGTTATTCTTGAGTAGTATACAGTAATACCATCTTGGTATTTGGATGATCTAGGTTATTTTTGGATTTTTGTTAATCCGTATGCCTTCCAGAATTATCCTTTCAGTTTCCATCAAGAACTCTTTTAGGGTTTTGATGGGAATTGCATTGATCTATAAATCAATGGTGGAAGAATTAGCATCTTTACAATAGTAAGTCTGTCTTCTTCAATTTCTTACAATGACGTTTTATTTTTCTTCTACACAATTCTTGCACATCTTTTGTTAGATTTATTTTTAACTTATACTTTCTCGTCATTTTAAGGAGTTTTGCTTTTAAAATAAAATTAGGCATTTTGTTGCTGGCACGTAGAAAGAAAAATAGTTTTTACTTGTTAATGTCATATCCAATGATCTTCCTGAACTTTTAGGTCTGATAGTTTATTTGTAGATGTTTTTGGATTGTGTATGAGGAAAATTCTATTATATACAAATAAAATTGTATGTATTTCTTCTAAAGTCATAACATTTGTTTTCTATGTCTTGCCTTTTTGTAAAGACTAGACCTTCCATTACAACACTGAGTACATGCAATCTTTTTCTTAATTTTCAAAGGAATATTGTGGCCAGGCCCGGTGGCTCATGCCTGTAATATCAGCACTTTGAGAGGCCAAGACGAGTGGGGATCACTTGAGCCCAGGAGTTTGTGACCAGCCTGGCCAACATGGTAAAAACCTGTCTCTACTAAAATACAAAAATTAGCTGAATGTGGCGGAGCGTCCCTGTAGTCCCAGCTACTGGGGAAGCTGAGCCAGGAGAAGCGCTTGAAGTCGAGAGGTGGAGATTGCGGTGAGCAGAGATCGCACCACAGCACTCCAGCCTGGGTGACAAAGTAAGACTCTATCTCTAATAATAATAATAATAATAATAATAATAATAATAATAATAGAAATATTTCTAACATGTCACCTTTAAAAATGTAATTTTCTATAGTTTTATTTCTACAAAAAAAGGGGTTTTTTTGTAGAAAACATTTTATTTCCATATTGCTAAGACCTTCTCTTAATAATTAGTTAATAAATTTGATCAAATGTTTTCCCTGCATCTTTTAAAATGATTTGTCCTCCATTAATCTAGCAATATCAGTGGAGTCAGTGGGGCAATATTTTTTACAGAGATTAAGATTTTTTTGTCCATAATTTCTTTTATTAATTTGAAGTGTATTTCCTCTTATATTATCTGCAAAACTTTGTTTAAGACTGGGTTGACTTTTAGGACATTTACAGAATTCATCTGTAAATTTGCTGCCACTACTCCTTTCTTAACTTTTATTTAAACAATTAATTTGTTGGTTTTCTAATTCATCACTTTCACTTTTCTGATTTGAAACTTATAATCGTATTTTTATGCTTTACTATTTACCCTTAGTATCTGTGGCATTCATACTTACAAGCCTGAAATTAATAGATTAACCAACCTATTAGCCAACACCTCATCTCAGATATGTAAGAATAGTATAAAACTTTAATTCCAATAACCATTTTTCCAACATATATTCCATTGTAAGTCAGTATTTAATTGTATAATTTTATTCAATGTCATACCTTAATGATTACAATTGTTATTATTGAATGTAGAAAATATTTTAATATTATCTATATGTTCATCAGGTTCTTTATTCACTATTGAATTTCTTTTTTTGAATCTCAGCTCTTTTAAGATTTTGTCTTTCTTCAAGAAGATAATCTTTAGCCCTCATTCTTGAATGCTTTGATGGGTATACAATACTATATACTCAGTTTTATTTTCTGAAACTATCTTTACTTAGCTCTTATCCATGAAGGAGTTGATGCTTATATAATATTAGATTTACAGTTATTTTTGTCAAAATACTTTGAAGAATCGATTCCAGCATCTTTTGGTTTCTGTTGCTACTGACATAAAGCCTGTTGTTAGTTTAACTGCTGTAAGTGATTTGCCTTTTTTCTCTGACTGTCACTTCACTCAGCTCTCTGCTCAAATGTCATGTCCTTCTAGAGGTATCCCCTGACCTCTCTTTTTAAATGACATGTCCTGGTACATTTTTCTGGCCCTATGCCTTGTTGCTTCTTCATCACACTTAACACTCTCTGGAATACAGGAGATTTATTTCCTTTTCTTTCCCTTCAGATGAGAAGCATCTTTTCCAAGAGAACAGGGATTCTTCTGCTGTATTTACTGCTAAAGTCACCAGTGACTAAAATAGTGATACCACATGGTTTGTACTCAATATACATTAAATGTATTTTGTACCATGTACCAAATGGTTCCAGAATGTTTGCTAATAATCTTTTTGGAACTACTAGGAAATAAGAAGGTTAAAAATACTAGAATTAAGACACTATGAATTCTAGTATGCTCTATTGCAGATTAATGGCATTGATATTATCCCCCCAAATTATGATAATCATGAGCATTTATTAGATGAGGAAAGTGAGTCACAGAATTATGACAGAACATAACACAGATCAGTTGCCATAGACACAATATATCATGATTTTAGCATTCTATAGATTGCCTCTTTACAGAGATGAGGTAGTAAAAACAGGGTACAAAGGAATTCTTTATAAAGGATTTCTAATGATTGAACATCTATACCCAAGAAATATCAATTAATAGATCATATCACCCAGATAAAGAGCTCTGTCCTTTCCACATTTTATCAAGTATATGGATAAAAACACAAAAAAAAGTCTTCATTGGCCGGGCACGGTGGCTCACGCCTGTAGTTCCAGCACTTTGGGAGGCTGAGGTGGGCAGATCACGAGGTCAGGAGATCGAGACCATCCTGGCTAACATGTTGAAACCCCGTCTCTACTAAAAATACAAAAAAAAAAAAAAAAAAGGAGCCAGGAGTGATGGCATGCACCCATAATCCCAGCTACTCAGGAGCTGAGGCAGGAGAATCACTTGAACCCAGCAGGTGGAGGTTGCAATGAACTGCGATTGCTCCACCGCACTCCAGCCTGGGTGA